CACAGGAGGACCGTTTGTTTCGATGTAATGAACCGTACTATGTTTTACTCTACCCGAATCGGATTTTAACTTCAGTACTTTTAGGAAAGTCTTTCAAGATTCTGTGATATGGTGAATCACCAGATATTAACTTTACCGAAAAATAATTTTTAGAATCGGAAAGAGAACCAATACGAGTTAATTTCGTAGTATTATCGATAAGCCTACCTCGTTTTAAATCGATTAAAAGATCAAAATGCCTTAAAAAGTCGGCTCCTATTATAGGCACTGGTACATCGGTGATTAAAAACTTCCAAGAAAAGTTTCGTCTAAGTCCTAAACTCACAGTTAACAATTTTGTTCCATACGTAGAAATTCTGGAATTATTCGCGGCAAATAATTGAAGCGAATCAGGATGCATTTTCCTAAACTTAGAAGTCGGTGTCACATATGAAACATCCGAGCCCGAATCAATCAAAAAGTTTAAATTTAATCTGTTATCGTAAACATGTAAACGACATGAATGCGCGACTGCCGATGAATTTCGATCGATAGCCGCTACTACTAGTTTTCCTGGGCCGTAGTGTTCTGAGAAAAGGAACAAGGTGCTCGACATTTTCGTGCATTACTACCGAATCGCGAATGAAAATAACAATAATTGTTCACACGCTCTCGGGAATGCCCACGCGAAAAACTACGTGCTTTGTTATGTTGATCCCGGGGGAAATTATTCCTCGTTTTTCCGCGGGAGAGTCGCTCGACTTGTTTACTTAGGGCAGAGATTTCACTCCTTAAGGCCTTAAGCTCCTCGAGGGGGGCACCAGAATCGTTAGGGTTTCTGGGGGAACTGGCCGAAGCTGCCTGGACCGCGAACACGCTGTTGTTCGTTGGCGTGCGCACTTCAGCTATCTTATCAGCCATTTTTGCTAAATTGTCTAAGGATTCCAAACTTATTGATAAAATGGCATGCACCTCGGAAGGTAACCTTTGCAGCCATAATGATTTTAAAAAATTCGTCAGTTATACAGTTTCCACCTAATTCTCTCATTTTTCTCAATAAGTGAGATGGTTTGTCGTCCCCTAAATGCAATTCAGAAATAAGTCTGCGTATTTGCTCGCTTTCCGAATCTGAGAATTCTCCTATTAACCTAGCTTTAAGGGCATCATATTTAGCCGTCGCTGGGGGATTAAATAAAATATCTGATACTGCGGAAAGAGTTTCAGGGTCTATCGAAGAAACCACGTGGTTGTATTTTGTACTATCGCTACTAATCTTCGCTAAAGCAAAGTTACTTTCAACTTGAATAAACCAAAGTTTAACATTATTTTTCCATAAAGGGGGAATTTTAACTGCCACGTGTGAGATTTGTGGCTCCTGAACCGCCATATTCGATTCCTCGTTGGTTTGGCCTTCCGATCCTGGCATGGTTGCCAATTATAAATATATCGTAAATCGTAAACTTAATGTTTTGCACTATACCTTATCAAAACAGTATCAATTTAGAATAAAATAACGAAGACATTCAATATCTCAATAAAAGTGTGAGCACAAATATTACTCAAAGATCAATTTTAAACAATCAATAATTAAATTAAAACTATAATTTTAGAGCAAAACATATCACAAAAACATAATTAAGACCAATCACAGATAATTAAAAAAATTTGACCACATACCTGTAAATCCTCCTTAAGTGTGATAAACCACGTGTAATCCGTACGATAAAATGAGGAGGAAATGAATAGGGTGGAGCCTTTATCAGTCATAAGGAAGAGCATTGGCATCAAAATAAGGCATATTTTTTAGTTTTTTAAACAAAGATTGAGACAGATAGTCATTAGGGATCGAAACAGAAGGAGCGAGGGACAGGGTCACCAATGATGTACGTGTGAGTAACACGTGCATACGAAAATATCCCTAACATTAACTAGGAAAGCCGAAATCTTAGTTAAGATAGACATGTTACAATTAATAATCAAATTTAATAAGGAAAAGTAACAGTTGCCGGGTACATTATAACGGCTTAAGAAATTCAGAGCACAGTACAGATGCGAGTACACAAGTTCACATATCTCGGCGAAACAGAGACGCACACATTTGTTGAAGTAGTTCCCCTTGACTGCCGGGGAAAAATCTTCTCTCTCCGTCAGCCTGTAGGTTTGCCAAACGGGTTTACTGTTTCGCCAATTGGCGCTTTTCTGTACAGTTTTTAAGTCCGTATCGCCTGTTTGGCGCTGCCGCTGCAAGTTTCTCATTTCTTCATTGAAGAAATGATTTCTTCTGCAATAAACCGTCCATTTCAGAATGAACAAACATTCCATTTTGGCCTCCTGTCAATTCTTCAGATTGCAGCTTTCTTGTGGCTATGTACGGTATAGAAAGAAGAGTCCAATTCTGAAAGATCATTCCACAGTCTTTCTCTTAGTGAAACATTAGGGTTATCTACATCTTCTAAAAAAGTTCATAATTCTAAAAAACTTTTTATCATCAAATATGTACTTCCTTATCACGCTGCTTGATCAATAGCTGCTCCTTTTTCTGCTCGCTTCCTAAAAATGGGATCAAATTTGGGAGTTCTTGCTACTATTGCTGCTTACCTAAATTTACCAGTGAGATTTGTAACTAAATGAATCAGTTTAATCACTAATGGCAAATATCACACCCATCCTCTTCCCTTGTATTTATTTATTAATATGTTAGTAAAATAGAAAATAACTATTGATTAATGTATATAGTCCATAAATAAGAATAATAACTCAGCTTGTCATTATTTTTTTTTCAATTCATTTTAATTTTATTTCAAAGTCAAACTGTCCAACAAACACGAGAGTCGACCTGTTTTTAGCGACTCCAGCTCCAACTCCTTTTACCCCAAAATCTGCCCGACTCCATGACTCCTACTCCACAGCCCTGTTACAAACATCTATGCCTTCTCCGGGATTCGAACCCGGGCCGTTCTGCACGGCAGTCAACGACGCATAACCAGTATACCGGTTGGGTGGAAAAATTTTCTTAGGTAACGTGGAAAGTTTCCATAATTTATTTTTTAGTTTAAATTGAATAATTTATTTATGTTTAATCTTGATTAATTAAACACGTTAGAGTTATTTTAAATAAATGTAAGTCTGAAAATTTAATATTTTACTGTCACTATATTTGAATTACGAATTGTAACCAACAAAACTGTCTTGCAGATATCAAACTTGAGTTTTCTGATAAAAAAATTAATATAAATTTGATTTTTTCTTTTTTTTATCATTTTTTGTTTATGTATATTTTCATAAATATTTAATAAGCGAATTTAAAAATATTTTTTATTTTGCTGATAAAAAATTTTCAGTTTGTTTAAAAACAAAAATTGTAGTCCATCTGTTGTTTTCAGATCATGCATTCGGCCCACACGCAGTTTGAGTTTACCGTCTCGACAAAAGCCAGTAAGGTAGTCTCGGTAAACTCAAGCAGTTCTTTGTATCGAAGAGCAGATTTTTGCACTCTTAATGAAATTGTTTCAAACGTCTGGCAGTTAAGCTTAACGTTCACTTCTTTACCTTACCCTTACACAAAATATTAGGTTATATCCCATTTCAGACTTTTCTAGCTCTTTAGTTGAGGCCGTCTTGATAGCGTAGGTAAGAAGAGCGATTCCCATTTCAACCTTTTCATTCAGGATTAACAGCCCACCAGCGGCTGAACACTGGTAACTCCGTCCGAGGTTCGAATCCCGCGAACGGGCTGGATGCAAGGGCGTTTTCGTGGTTTTCCCCATGTGTAACGTGTATACGAGCCAGTTCCCCTTAGAAAGTCCTCCACGAAGGCATCCCTCCTCTTAGGCAGATGGCCCTCGAGGCTTTGCCATAATCACACACACACACATTCAGGATTAACGTAAAATCCGAAAGCGGGATTGAAGGTCACGGGAATGTGAAATGTGTCTGAAGTCTAGTCACGTTTTGATTAAAATTTTCCACTGATGTCACAAAGACGAGTCAGCCTTTTAACTTAGTTTTTTAAGTACTACTGTAAATAAATGATTAATGACATTAGTGATTAAGCCTAATACATAAAATAAATGTTTTTAAATTTGATTACAATTCAGTATTTTTGTTGTCTTGATATAAGATCATTTCGATTTCAAAAGAATAATCACACTAAAATATTTTGAGAAGTCTACATTGGAAAAATCTAAATATTGAAAATGAAAAATGAAAACATTTGAAGATTTGGCTAGAATTATAACTTTATTAAAAACGCAGTGCCCCAAAGAACCTTGAAAATCGTCAATAATACTATTATCAAAGTATTATTGATGAAGATTTTAATAAAATAGATTCATTATTTCATAAATTTTTAAAACAGACCATCATTGTAGATTAGATTGTTAAGCCATATATAGAAAAATGGACTTTTACAACCATCTGCCGCACGGAGCTACTATAGAGGTGTCGTTTTCAAACCTTTTAGGATCCCGACCCCAAATTCTCAAAAATATGCATGTTTGGACTCTGTAGTGCAGCAACTTTTTGAGACTCTCCAAAAACGTTTGTAGATCATTTCTATATGCTAATAAAACAAAGGATTTTTCGGCTGAAATAATTGTTCTTTATGCATTTTGTCCTTTTTTTCTGCTTTGTTTCACTCACATTTTATTCCGGAGTTAATTAAAATACACGAATTTTACTTTACAATGTCCCTCATTCTTCTATGTCTTCCCACCAACTGTAATGAAATATAGAAAATAGAAAGGCTGAAATCGTATGGTTTTGTCGTCCAGAACATTTGCAGAAAGTGAGAAAAAAAAAAAAAAAAAACTGAAAGAGCGCGATATTTGTTCCCACTTCCAGAAGGCCCGAAATGGGAAATCATGGAATCTAACACTCATACATTGGAACATCCGGTGCGGCGCCGCTCTTTCGCATCTTTTTATAGCAGGTGCAAATTCCAGTGTTTGCATTTTTGCAATTTAAAAAGCATTCATGCAAAGTTCGCTTCGTTCTGACTTTTGCTTTTGCTTCTTTTGCAGGTGGAAGATTTGGCAGACGACCTGGACGGCCGCAGTTTGGCGTTCTTACAAGCCGGCTACACTTACCTGGTGATGACATCGAAGCTGGCTGGCAAGGCCAAGGCTGTGCAACTGAGGGCAAAAATAACTGAGGTCGGCCTTTCTTCTTCTGACTCATCTTGCGATTGTTCCGACCCAAATCTTAATCTTCACTAACGTGCGCCTGAAATTAGAAACTCCAATTTCTTTCCCATTTACTTCATATTTTTTGCGAATTTAATCAATTTTTTTAACAAACTCAGTGATATAAAAATAGTGTTCTGCCACACTGCAAAGCCCGAAAATTTGTTTCAAATTGAATAAGAAATTCGATGATTTGCAAGAAAAATTTATCCGAAATTAAATATCCGTCCGAAATAAAATATTATCTTCAAGCCATTAGCCATTCAAGCCAAGTAGGTTGCCATTCGGTAAACCGTAAAGTGTTTAATTTTTCTTTCAAATGTAATCTGTCTATGAACGAACATAAATGTATTTTAGAACAGAGGTGCTTATTAGGGACCAGCTAAATGTTCCATTAAAAAAAGTTCGTTATAAAGAAATGCCTTTTATCGTATATTTTAGGTGGGTATATAGGCTTTATAACTTTTGTTAAAAAAAAATCAATCCTCATTACGAGTGTGTTTTTACACTTTTAGAACGATTTCTATTAAAAATCTAAAAAATATTTTTTAAATGTTCGATCTGGTAGACTTTTTACTGGACTATGCGTCTGCATCGTGACTTCTATGATAGAAAGACTTCTCGTAAAATTTCCAAGGGTATTGATTTCCATTCCTGTTCCACTACTTTCCAGAGTCATCCATCGTGTTGGGTTTGCCCTCAGAATTGCTAATTTCGAGAGACCAAAGGCGCAGTGGTCGTTAGGAAACTCGGGGTGCTTTACAGGAATACGCTGAGAAGGTATATATGCAATACCTGTATCTGTCTTAATGTTTTCACAGGATCCAGTGGTTCTTTTCGAAATATGACTTGTTTCTTTGCCTTGATGAACTTTCACTTTGTGAAAATGATTGGGAAAAGAAATGGATTTTCTTCCTTCAATAGTGAACGCAAAACTTTCTCTTTATAATTGGCTGAATTGATTTTAATTTTTTCACACTCTTCTTATTTTTAATTTCCCATGGTAAGGGAATGCTGAGACAATCATAAACCCCGTATTGAAACTTTTTTTTTTTGCATCGACGGAACCAGGTTTGTGCATTTTTTCCATTCGTTTTCGATAATAAATAGACCCTTTTGGTTTGCAGTCACCACACTGAATCCACATGTTTCTAGTTATATTTATCTTAAATGAGTTAAATTCCGTTGCTGCTTGAAACATATTTTTGCTCATCGTTTAGTGTTAGCGTCGGTTAATATTATCGAAATAGCGTGGAAATATCACTTTAAGCGACTCTTTCTATATTCACAAAACCGATTATTTTCTCTGCTTTTATTTAAAAAAACATTAAAAATATGCCCGCAGTCGGAGTAAAAGATCTTGAATAGGGCGTTTTTGCTGAGATACAACATTTTCCAACCTATTCAATTCTGAATGGAACGAGGAAACTTTAGCCCCCCGATTAGGGTCCACTTATAAAAAGTGAGTACCTTGCAAAAATCACATGTTCTGCTTTTTTATCTTTTCGTAGTAGAAATAGAAGATCGGATATCTTTAAGTGTTGTCAGACTTTGTTATTTTTTGCAAATTAGCTGCTTTTTACAATCTTGTGCTACTAAATATTCATCTCTCTCCGATTTTGCAATTTTTATGCTGCTTCATCATTTCATTTGTAGTAATTTATTTTAGCTTAAATAAAAGTTGGCAGCTGGCAATCCTGCAGTATAGCTTATAAGCGCATGTGCAGTCAGTTTTCGAAACTACTCGCTGGTGTTTTCACATGCTTGATTGATAGCTTTGTTTAATATTTTGGTAATCTGTGAGTAGGTTATGAAATTTGAGATAGGTTGTGAGTGCTGTGTTAATTAAAAGTATTAAAATGAGCATAAATCCATAAAAAATTCAGCATCACCTTTCGAAATATTTGCCTTGAAGTACCTATGTTTGAGAAATGTTTAGAAAGACTAAATTAACTAAGAATGAACTTAAAAAAGAAATGGAACAATGAAAATTTTAGTAATTTTTTAAGAAAGAAGAAATTTTAAGGGGGAAAACTATTAATATGGATTTTATTCAAAACTAATGTAGTAGTTGTAAAATTACTGCCCATAACTTTCCAAATAATAGGAATAAATTCGTAATGACGTCAAAAAAATCGCGTGGTAGCTGACGTACGTTCTAATGTTTGCTACTTTTCGATACTTCTCTTGCTACTTTAGCTCAAAAATTTCTCGCAGCACTATTTCATTGCTTTATTTGATATATCCGGAATTATAAGAAATATCTCATAGGTGGATGTGTAAATATTATGCACACGTATTGAAAGAAATCTGTGAAGACCGAAATTTAAAAACTCAGTTGAATATTGCAGTAGAGAGAATGCATACATAAAATAAAATAACTATTTTAATGGTCATTTAAATTTATTTTGAGAAAATTCGGATACGTGGATAACATTAAAATTTTGAATTATTATTGGTTCAAAGGGGCTTAGTCCCTGAAGGACTGTTGTTTTCGTTTTGCGATTTTGCGTTGAATCACTATAAATGTCCGTTTCACTTTTCAAATTGTTGCCACTAAATGTTAGAGAGTCCTGCATTATATTTGAAGAAATTAAATAATGAAAAATCTGCATTAAACGTATGTATATTTCTCGCATTGTGATAAAACAACGGTACATAGAACCATCCAATTTTGAATGACGTAATCCTCCTACGAATGTGGGCATGTGGAAGACCAAATTTGGAATTTGTTTTATTATCGATTTCATATTTTGTAAACCTTTAATGAATTTTTTATTAACAAACTCAAGGATTTCAAAGCGAGCAATGGCAACGCTGTATAGGGGGAGGGAATTATCTCTAACGCGCGTGACTCTGTATCGAAAATTCTAAAGATATGCTCAGTTTAAAACTATTGTGCGATATTGCTCTTGAACTGAATTTTATGTTTTAAGTGCAAAGAACATGATATTTAGTAAATAAAGGTAATACACAAAATGTTAAAAAAACGCCCCTTTGGATGTAATTTAAAATCTAAAAACTTTTCAGTTTTTTTTAAATTTTATTTTTATTGAAATATTTTCTTAGATGCTTTAAATTCAGCCGAATTTAAGACCTGAGTATATAGGTATTTTGATAGAGGTTGAGGTGTTTTTTAGTTTTTGAGTGTTATTTTAATTCGAACCAGAGAACTCCAATTAGACGAAATCCAGTATTTTTATTTTTTATTATTTAACTGCTTACAATTAATTTTAGAATTGATTATTTTTTTAATTCTTCTTTTCATGTTTTATTAAATTTTATTTTTGATTATTTTAATTATTAAATATTTTACTATTTTTTTAATTTTTGTTCCACTTTCATTACGGTCTTCCATAGGAAGTGTAGAAATTAAACCCTGTTATTGGAGGTGTTATCTGCAGGTGTCGAAGGTTTAAATAAACCTGCTTCTTCAGCTGAAGAATATGCAAATTAGAAAAGAGAAGCCTGTGTTCAGGCGATAACAATCACAAAAACGAAGCTATAGGCACCTTCTGTGGTAAAAATGAAAACAGTTATGAAATAATTTTCTTAAAAGCTGAGGGTAAAGAGTGGTTGGAAGCAAGATCGTTAATTAGAACCGAAAGGTTTTAATGAAACCCGCTAGGAATGTGAAACCCGCTAGGAATTCTAATTTGCTACCGGAGGATGTTTTTTTGAATAATTCTGATTGCAGAGAAATTAAAGGTATGATTTTCAGACGGAAAGTATTGGGCAATAGAGAATTTATATGTTTCTGTCTTCCTAACATATGCTTCATGTTTCTTGGCGCGACATTTTAAGGTTCTGTTAGTGTGACCAATGTAAGGTAAACCACATTGGCAAGAATCCCGTGTATGTAATAGAAGTTCATATCCAGAATAGTATGCTTAAGTACGGAACTGTGAATTTTATTAATTAAAGAGAAAACCACTTGAAAGTTGAATTTCTGTAAAAATACGTGCAGTTTTATAGCTAATGATGGAAAAAAATGAATGAGAACAGGATTCTTATAATCTAAAACGAAAAGATACTTTTTAACGTGTTGAGATGAGAATTTTTTAGCGTCTTGATTAATAATGTTACGTGAAAATCCTTTATCAATAGCAATTGCTTTTAAGTAGTTTAGCTCCTGATCAAGAGCCGATTTGGAAAAACGAACCGCTCGGAAAACGAAGGAATAAAATGAAGCTATCTTCTGTTTAGTCAAATGACATGATTTGTAATGTGGTGGAAGGCGAACAGATGAAAGTTGATGGTAAACAGTGATGTTAAAGTTGGAAGTGTTGCGTGTTGCTCGACATCTTTGTCGAGGAACGGAAGGGAATTCGGTGTTTTAAATTCAAAAGTGTTGTCATTTTTCATCAGTAGATGGTGCCAGTAGCTTGAATGCATTACTTTCATTGTTACTGCTTGAAGCCTGTGCTCTTTGCACTTCTGCGGCTGAAGAAGGTGGTGCTATATTTAACCTTCGAAACTAGTTCTTCAAATTTATGAATGCTACTCTCATTTTTGTTGCCTTAATACCTCCAATAATAGTTATTTGGCATGTTATTTTAACTCAAATTAAGCCCTGTGTACTCGCTAAAATTGTTGTATGTCATAAGAATTCCTTTCTATTTTTCTGATAGCTCTCCGCTCCGATGAACTGTTTGCCAAGCTCTACGACGAAGAGGAATGGGAACATTTATCAAGATGAATCCAACGACGTCTACGAAGCGGATTCTGGGCATAAATGTGTATTCGATAACGTTCTCTTTGAAGATGGTGCTCAATGGAAACCTGAAAACGATGAATGTACCATGTGTTCCTGCCAGGTATTGTATGCGATGAGTACGCAATATATTTTTTCATAATATTGGCATCCCTGTTGTAACAACGTTTCTCTCCTACGTGATAAGAAAATTACGTAGAATTTATGATTGAAAATGACGTTGATATTGCCAATTGTTTTAAAATTAGTAGTAATTATTAGTATTTAAATTTAAACTTCAATGTTCTAATGTATGATGTTCTTATGTAATGACTGTTTTACTTTCAGCGCCATTAAGGCACAATTACTTCAACCGAGTCGGAACGTAGCTAGCAAGTAAGCTAGTTAATCTCGGCATCATAAAGTCATGTCTCTCATGGGAAAAATTCCTCCTAGGGGATTTCATTGTATCAGGGGGTCTACTCATTATTCACATGCTATGTATTTAGTTCTAGTTTATGAATATAAAAAAGCTACTTTTATTCAGGTTTTGATGTTTATCAGCATTTTGTATACTTTTTCTTGTTTAATGTGTAAAATACATTAGAAAATAATCTAAATGTAAATATTTGAATGTATTTTTATTTCTCGATTTTTGGAAAGAGGAAAAATAATAATCTCTAGTTATGGTAAAAGAGGTTCATAAGGCAAAAATCGTACGTGAATCACTGCTCCGCTACTATAATAAACACAAAATATATAACAACAAAAATATACAGTAACAACCTATATAAATATACGCATAAAAATAAAATGCCGGGGTACTCACATTCTCTTAACTCGAAATTCTTTTGGAATGGGGTTGTGCCCATCATTTACGCAGTATGTATATTGTGCTCCAAATATTACATTGGTAGACTGCATAAATTAATAATTGTGGTTTTGGAAGAATATTTTTTATGAAAAATATGCGTATATGTTACAAATTTTTTGAAGTAATTTTTGCGAAATAATATTTCAACCCCAAACAGTGTCTGAAAGTAAATCACTCTTAAAAGAATTTTTTTTTCTTTGAAGATGAAAATATAAATTTTGAATCTTTCGTTAAAAGAAGAAAGTCATCCGACATTGCAAAATGTTCTAAATTTAAATGAGACAACGGTGAGAAGCATTAGAAAAAAGTATTTTGCCTTTTAAAGTTTTCGAAAGGCATCCCTCTATTTTGTATTGATTGTTAGTATCGTATATTCTATGAACCTATTTAACATGTTATAGGAGTTTACCTGTATGTATCTGCAATGTTATAGGAGGCTGCCAAAAACTGAAACGATTTTTTCCCCTTTCAGAGAGGTCGTGTCGTCTGCGAAAGGATGGACTGCCCGGAGCCCGTCTGCGATAATCCAATCTCTGTGCCTGGAGAATGCTGCCCCTTGTGTCCTGGTATGTAATTGATGACTGAAACTTTTTTTTCTGCACCTCAAACTATAACATAATGTAATTCCTGTCGACCATGAAATTTGGCTGTCATCGAGCCATGGAAATTTGCAGAGATCCCGCCATATCCCGACGCAGCAGTCGTTCCTGCCGAGTTCTGCAAAAACTAACACCTCTTTATTTAATAAACCATCAGTATTCGATCCGCTTACTTTTTTGCGTTTCATAAAAAGCTTTTGGTCAGTTTCTATTTTCTTAAGCACCCCCATTTCACTGGAAGCTTTGTTTGAAATGCTGTGAAGTACAAACTTCCCGCAGTTAATTAATTGTTCCAGTCTGTTATTGTTTCCTCATTTATATCAGCTGGTCATATCGCACCCGTTAATTTATACTTCCTTTGATAATAAGATACCATGGAAGCAATTAATTGTTTGCTGTTCTGTAGAAAACAGGCTCGAAATTAAATTTTATTTCTCAAATGCTAGAAAAAATAGAGCAGTAGCAGTTAATTTATGACATGACTTTGTTACTAAAAACAAAATACGGTTTATTCAGTTAATCAGTGTTACATCAGGTGAAAGCTAGGATGTTAGCAATGTGTTATTCCGTCATGCTTCTCCGTATTTGCCGCTAAAATCGTGCAACTTGGCGGAAGTTTCTCGGTTGAAGGGATAGTACTTAAGTACGGTAATTTACTTATAGGTTTTTATACTAACTAATCCAATTATCTTATTATTTTGACTGCTTTTATATACCCTACGATTGTGTAATTCCTTTGTTAGTATAGTATGTACTGGCGCTCTGATCGGTATAGTGGTCGCCTGCCGTAATGTCGAAGTCCGCTTCCAACCCTATAGAAGGCATGGATATTTGTGTCTTTGCGACATGGCGCACTTAAAATGCTGACGAGTTAAGAGTTCTCTCGAGTAGCTTTGTGATAAAGGAAGACGGGTAGGAAATTCTTGTACTCTATCGAAATTGGAGTGGATCTGGAGTCTGTAATACTTAAAGGGACTATCGATCGAAGTACAATCTCATGTTGATTAGGTACTTATATCGATGATGCAAGATATTGCCTTTAGTTTAAACTAACTGTGGAAGTACAAACACCTAAAAACGTACTTAATTTTAGCCCCCAACTTGTAAATGCTAAATTAAAATATTACAAAAGTCGTCTTGACTATGCTGCAATTAACCGGAGTTAATTCAACTAGATACAGTACAAATACTTCTACTCAAGGTTTTAGGTCGAACAACCTAATCTAAATCAAAACTAACTTATCGCGCCGTCCAAGCAAATTTTCTAACGGCGCTTTGTTACCGTTATTGTGGCAAGAGCTTCCCAGAGTAGACCACTGCCAATCTGTCGTCTATGTGAGTCTGTTGTTTCTTGAAAATTTTGCCGCCGATTTACGAGAAAATCTGATATATATATATAGGAATATTTCAGTATCTTAACCCCTTCGCGCCGACTGTCACGTATACGTGCCAGCAACGAACGCACTTACCTACCGGCCGAGACGCAGGCGTGCCAGAGGATTGTTCCATTCTCTACCGCCTGTCACGTATTTGTGCCAGTACTTTGGAACGTTTTTCAAACTATAATTTCTGCCACAAGATGGCACTGTATGTCCATATGGTTTCAGATACATGTAAATTAGACCTTCTACTCGAAATGAGAGAAGCATGACTCACATACACATGTTTTGATTATATAAACAAACGGGGAAATAAATGTTTCCGAATGGCGTGATTTATGACGTCTCTAAATCGCACTTTATTCGCACGTGGTAGTTGTTTACTGTAAGTAGAGAAGTTTTATTTGCTCTAAAGCGTTGGGTATTTCGGTTTGCAGTTCAGTTTTTAGAAAATAATTAGACGTGAATTGTTAGACGTGAATTCTTTGTTTTTACCGTTGCAATGTCGAAGCGTCGAAAATGTTTAACAGAGCATGAAATAGCAGAAATGATGCAAAATATTTCAGATATTGATTCTGAAATTCTGATATTCTGATATTGATTCTGAAAGATTAGCTGAAAGACATTTTCCAAAACTTTGTTCAGAAGAAACTGATAAGAAAATGAGACGACGATGCTTCGTTTGTTCACATTCCCGGAAAAATCCTCCAAAACGGCAAATGAGTTATTACGAGTGCAAGGAATGTAACGTAGGACTGTGTGTAGATCCCTGTTTTCAAATTTTTCATACGAAAAGAGAATTTTAAGTAATATATTTAGGTTTCAGATGTATAATGTTAAAATTCATAAAATGGTGAGTAATTAAAATAAAATGTGTAAAATATTCATTTAAACAAGAAATAAGGTAATTAAAGTATATATATAAAAATATTTATAAAGCATAAGCCATTTAAATACTCTATAGAGCATTATTAAACAATGCGTTGATACTTCGGAAATTTCATGGATTTAGGCTTAGTAGCAAAAAAGCCCCCGGCCCTGGAGAGACGCTTGCGTAAGACACTGCCGGCCTCAGTGATAAGCTCGCGTTTTCGCTACCCGGCTCGAAGGGTTTAAGGAAATATTTTTTTATTTTATTTTTTTATTTATTTTTTTTTAATTTTTTTTTTTTTATTTTTTTTTTTTTTTTTTTTTTTTTTTTTTTTTTTTTTTTTTTTTTTTTTTTTATTATTCTTTCCACGAAACATCTCAAAAGCGAATTTTCGGCTGAAGCCACGCCCACGGTTCCATTACTAATGTGCGCTTGGGAAATTCGCATCCGGCTATCTGCCACACTGGGTTAGCAGCATTCTAATGCAGTGATCTCTAATGGAAATTGCATACCGTCCAAATGCTCTTGATCTGAAAGCAGCCGACTGGCCGAAAATTATTTTTAACAAAACATAAATAAATTATAAATTTCTCTTACTGAATATTTATCGAAATGTACAAAAAATGAAATCGTAATAATAACACAAAAAATCGAAATTAAATTTAGTTTCTATCTGAAGTCTAAACGTTGGTACTGCAAAAACATTCTGTCAGTTATATTTAGTAATTCAAATACACGGATAACAAAATATTGAATTTTAGACTGACGTATATTTCAGGTGCTTCTAACATGCTGTGTTGATCACTAAATAACTAACTTTAACCTGAAATTCCAGAATACTGAAACGTCCCAGGTGTCGGCTGACAAACTAAATTTTTTTAAAGTACCAACGTGGAAAATTCTCCCACATTGCTGTACTCACTTGATCTAAACGCGACACAGACAAACCTTTCGTTCTATCTTTTTGTCTTCACAATCAGTCTCGTACATAAGCACCATCCATATTTTTATGTCTCTAAAATAGTAAGCACCATATTTGCAATAAATAGATTACTGAAATGTACTCGTTCGCAAGTTTGATGCGGCAGCTGTTACACACCGAAACATCTGTCTACTACTAATCGCTTGGTTACGATTCTTTCTCTCAATTAAGACTACGTCGCTTGCCAAACAAATCTCAGGACTGAGCGAGTACGTGATGAAATGAGCATAAAGGAAAGACGAAATTTTTAATTGTTCAAATGAAATTTTTCTTCTGTTAGGTAACAGCACGGGAACATCCGAGACGAGTGTGCTTCGATCTCAGCGCCTTTGTTACTTTGAAGGTGACAAGAAGTTTCACGTGGCCGGCAGCCGATGGCATCCTTATGTTCCTCCTTTTGGATTCAGCAAGTGTTCCCTCTGCACCTGTGAGGTAGGCTCCAATTAGGTAGTTTCTTTTCATTCGATTTAGCACCTCAAACTTAGAAATTAAGAAAAGAATGTAGAACTTAGAAATTAAGAAATTAAGGAACTTAGAAACTCAAATTTAGAAATTATTTTTATTATTTAAGCCGAAGACAGTGACGGTGAACTGTGAACGCATCACGTGTCCTCCACTGAGTTGCACGGAAAAGGACTCGTACAGAGACAATCCTCTAGCTTGCTGCAAGAAATGCCGAAGTAAGTTCTTTGTTCTTCAACATTCTGAATATGATTAGGTTACTGAAAATGTTTGTCTTCAGTTACGTTAATTGGAATTCAGAAGCATTGTAATAAAATGAAAATCGGAAAGGATTCGATGCATCAGAATCAGTGCGCGCTGGTCTCGAAATTAACTCCTTTTTTTTCGGGGGGGAGAGAGGGGGTCTTTCTAACTTTAAGCGGCCGAGCGGTAAAGTCGCTGAACACTGGTAGTTCGGTCCGAGGTTCGAATCCCGCGAACGGGCTGGCTGCATGGGCGTTTTCGTGGTTTTCCCCATGTGTAACGTGTATACGAGCCAGTTTCCCTTAGAAAGTCCTCCACGAAGGCATCCCTCCTCTTAGGCAGATAGCCCTCGAGGCTTTGCCATAATTACACACACTTTCTAACTTTACTAATAAGCATGGCGTTCTTCGCTCTTAACGTCACATAAAATTCAAGAGCAGAATTACGGAATATTTAAAAACAATCTATCTTTAAAATTCTCGATACAATTTTACATTCGCTATATTATTTTTTTTAAATAACGCATGGCGACAACATCAGATGACAACTTCCTTTTATTTGAAAATTGATTCGGACCAAAAAGTCTGGACTGAGAGTAGTAGCGTGCTCGATTTGTGCCGTGGGATTTTGACAGAACAGCAAAAAGAAGACCGAAAAGCTTGCTGTGAAGATATTCTGACTGTTGCGATTTCTTAAAGTGTATTATAACGGGAGATGAGCCTTGATATCTACAATAAGATCTAGAAAAGAGAAAAAGTGCACACTGGGAAGAACTGCCTTCTGCCATACCTCCCGGGAAAAAATAAATAAATCGAGTCAGCAACTAAGGTGATGCTTATTACATTTTCTGATTGCAAAGGACTTATTTATCATACATTTTCTGATTGCAAAGGACTTACTTATCATGAATTTGTCCCTGAAAATCAATCAATTAATCAGTCTTTTCACAATAAGGTGCTTTTCGATTAAAAAAACCGGGAAGGACAGTTAGGAAGGAGATTAGGTTGGTTGTTAGTTTCGTATTATAACCTTGAAGGTTATAATGCGAATGACGGATGGGTGAGAGGTTTAAATTTAGAACATATACAGATAGATATAAAATCAGTATTAAAATGTTTCATGGTAATGACAGGAACTAACGAGCAGAATGATTGAAATATGAACGATTAATGGAAATATGAAAAAACCAAACCAACTCCACGTAACCATCGTATAACACAGTAGAGAGGTTCCTAGAAAATGCCGTGTAGTGTGAAACCATGTTGTAAGAGACCCAGAAGCAGTATAAAAATGGGGGTTACATTCCGAAAACTTGAAAACAAATATTTTTCTTAATTACACATAAACAACTTAATTTTTTTATCAAAAGTATATGTGCATATACAACACAAAAAAATATTACATATTTTAATTTAACGCAACTGTAATTTTATAAATTTCTTCGTTGTCATTGCTGAGTATAATCAACGTTTTTTCGGTGGAATGAGATCGCTTTCACTTTTAGAATTTCTTTTTTCTTCATTTAAAATTCTACCATCTTCTTCCTTCTTTAAAAAATCTGTAATTTTACTTTGTTTACTAGTTCTTACCGGGTAATTTTAAATTTCTCGATATAGAGCTAGACAGTTTTGCACCTCCCTTTTGAATTTTCGGCTTATTTGAGCGGAAGTATCTGCACTCAAGAAAAATATCTCGAGATTTCCAGCATTACCTTCACAACCTTCATCAGTGGTAGTGTGCTCAGAATCGATTTGATTTACAACTTCAGATGCCATTTCTATCACATCTTCGTCAATTTCTTCTTGCGCTAATAAATCTTGAACGTCCTCAATAGCCACGTTCACAAAACCTTTGCAAGTTCTAATATGCGTGCAATTTTATGATAATTATGACAATTCACGCACGTTTTCTTTTCCAACTGAAGAACGCCATATCTTCTTCTAACATACATTTAATGTTGATGCTTTCAGTTCTTTCAGCGACAAAGATACGATGTCGATTCAGTTCGTGATTGAAAATGTCTTCCAAGCTTCCATTACATTAACTGATTGTGAATCGGTTACGTCTAAAATCTACTGTAATGTTCTTCTTATATAATATGTCTTAAAGTTATAAATAATACCTTGATCCAATGGCTGGAGTAATGAAGTAATGTAGGTGGTAGGAACAGTATTTTGACATTGGGATGATTCAAATCTTGTGGATGACATGGAGTATTATCTAATAGTAATGAGCGTTTTGAAGCTCAAATTTTTCTGCCTTAAATAACGTTCAGCGTCAGGCACAAAGCAATTTAAAAACAAATCTTTAAGTATATTCACAGCTACCTAAACTCTTTGATTTTCTTTCCAATATACAGGTAAAGTGTTTTTATTTACGTCCTTAAGTGCACGAGGATTTAAAGATTTATAAACTAACAAGGGTTTTTGTCAAAGTCCAAAGTCATACTGCACAAAAGTGGTATTGGACAATTTTTAGACGCCTTAATGTTCAGGATGCTGTTTTTTTCTTTTTTTCGATATAATTTTACTGGACATTTTTTGAAGTTTTCGAACCAACCTTTACTTACCAGGAAAACCTGGGTTGACTCCATGTTCTTTGAGGTGCTTGAAAATTTTGAGTGTTTTTTATTTAATGATATTACCATCCAACGAAATTCTTTTTTGGCAGCTATTATCAATCCAAATGCTGAGTGCCTTTTCCATCTTCTCAATTATTGGCGTCCCCGGAGGAGAATTGCTCGTTTTGCAGATGTCGAAGAACCTGCAGCAACTGCACTTCTTATTTCTTTTTCATTTTTCTTAATAGTTCGGAGTGTTTCTTTATTGCGATTAAAACTTTTTCCAAAGTGAGATGCCTTTTCTCCTTTTAAAAGACATTCCAAGATTTGTTTCTGTGCTTCTAAAGAAATGAATTTCCTCTTAAACGTTGTTTTTATATCTTTATCGGACATGTTTGGGGACTGAAACTTAATGTCTTAAAGACGGAAAAGTTATCCTTTAACACACCGTGTCTCGACGCAGACTGCCGACCAGCAGCTTGAGACACTTTTATTTTCAGGCCATGGAGATGGATGATTCGAATTTTGGAAGCCGAACGTGCCGGTTGTGCGTTTTAGAGCCCTTATTGTTGCCTCATGTTTTTGACCTTCTGCGATAGTGAGGTTTCTTCATTGTTGTCTGGGGACATTTGTTCATGTGGGGTCATCTGAGGACAGCTGTTCTTACGGCTACCGGATCTTGGAAGACAACTGGCAGAACTTACGAAACAAGGATTCTTATGTGCTAAATGACTATATGGGTGCTTTGCACAAAAAATATGGAGAAACTTCGTGTGGAGTTCGTTAAATTTATTCGGATTGCTTGGGCAATTTTCTTATCGTGTTGTAGCTAAACCGTGTTACAGGATGCCGTATTGTAGATGGGTTACCTGTATATGACACACTCTAAAATATATAGAATATCTAAACAATGAATTTCCTCTTAAACTCTGTAAAGCAAACCAATATTAAGTGATAAAATCCAGTCTCTTTTAAATATGAAAACAAGTTAATGTTCCCCCTTTCTCGATCAAGCGATGAAGAGGAGTCATATGTATTAAAATTTTTTTAATTTCGTTAAAATAGGAGCAGTTTATTGAAATATGGCGAACTGATAAAATAGCTTTGCACTTTGAATAGTAGGTTCACTCTTGGCTTCCAGAAGATAACCATGTGTAGCAGGACAGTGAGCAACTCTTAAGACCGAGTTAAAAGGACCTCCTTCTTCTGGCTTCTAGTCGTTTCTTAGTACTCCACCAGAAGTTTTACAGATTTAAGCTTGTCGTTGACCTGTACATCCTATAGTAGCTGCCACTTCCCTTATTTAGGACTTTTTCTGCTGATGATCTTGAAGATATCTCTAAATAGAACAACCTGCCTTATCCGTGATGTCTGCTAGCTCATTTCCTTTTATCCACACACGTCCAAGTTCCCAGCAGTACAAAATTTGATAAACATTAAATTTAACTTTAGAATTTCCAAAGTTACAGGGTTGTGTGTGTCGGAGTATGATTCTAAAGCTTTCGGCGTACTTTCGTCGGAGTCAGTATAAATTATGAACTTTTTCTACCATTGTTTGAATATGTATGAAATGCCATAATACAAAGCAGTCAATTCAGACGTCAGTACTGAGGAAGCTTTACCCAAACGTCTGTATAAATCGAAGTGCTGTATTTATACCTGTGCCCAAGAAAAAAACTGGTTTTATGATGATATCGATTGTATTTTCTTTATTGAACTGGTGGTAAACATCAAGGAGTTGTATTTGTGTATTCTCCCAAGGTGTAATTTCAAAATGCTTTACGGACTGGGCATTTACATCAAATAACCCATAGTCATCAATCAGTGATCAGATTCTTATGGGGAAATAAGGCTTTAGACAAACAATCAAACATGTCATCATACAAAGTGATCTTACTAGGATGTCCTGGTTTGACTCTATATTGAAAAATGGCGGAGAGGCTACTACTCGCGCCTTTAAACGATTTTGTCGGTTCAAAACTGTCCACTTACATAATTTCGATAGGAGATGTTCTAAATGCTCCAGAACAAGTTCTCAAAGACTGATGATGAATAGGATCTAGTTTCAATAACACAGAAGACCGTTCTGTACCATAAGCCATTGAGCCGTAGTCCAATTTAGAACGATTAGACTCCTGTAAACACGTAGTATAACACAATAATCTGCAACCTAGGAGGAATTTGCGATGACTTTTAAGAAGATTTAATGTTTTAAAGCGTTTCTTCCTCAAGTTTTGTACATGTGGGAGAAAGGTTCAATCAAGTATTACCCCTAGGAATTTCACATCAAAATTAAAAAGAATCAGGGAATGTGTATTCAGTTGATTCTCAGGATGGAAATTTCGTTTTTCTGAAAAAATATCCGCAGACGGTCTTCTGACTTGAAAAACTGAAACTTCTGACTTGAAAAACCATTTCAGGATCTTCCTAAATCTAATCTGCAGTTGTCTCCCCGCTCTCCATGTCTGCCTCTAGGTAACGTATTTAGAGGTTATCAACATACACTGTGACTGAAACAGAAGGTGGAAGTTCTTTCAAAACAGTTATTTTTAGATTAAACAGTGTTACGCTTAAGACGCTTTCCCAAGGCACATACTCTTCTTGATAAAAATACATTGGACAGCACAAAACCAATCCCCACTTGGAAAGTCCTAGCCTACAAAAAATTCTAGATGAAAATTGGCGTGTTACTGCACAAGCCAGTATCATAGAGATATCCCGTAGAGTGCCATATCTCAGGCCCTGTCGTACGCCTTGTCCATATCAAATAATATTGAAACCAAGTGGTCTCTTTTTACGAAGGCTTGACGGAGAGACTTTCTCCACATAGCAGACAAGACAGCAATTTCCCGTTTTCTCAAACAATTTGAAAATGTAGCTGTAAATTCGATGGCTGGTATTTTGAAGGATTTCGTTCTCCTTATTTAGTTTAGCAATAGGGATATTCATAGCTTTCTATGAGTTACAGGAAGGATGCATTATCTTATCATAACTAATTACATCAGAACCTCAACTGGATTTAAGTGTCTTCAAGGCTATTTTTAACTCACGCATGCTACAATCAGCATTATAAGACTCCAAGCTGGGAGAGTTAAATATAGAAAGTTTTTCAGACCGTAGGTTGACAGAAAGAAATGTTTGTGGATAAGTGCTACTGCCAGATACTGCAGAAAAACTCACCTATTGTATTCGCAACTTCTTCTGTAATGCTCATCATTCGACCTTCTTTCGTAATAGAAAGTGAGTATTTGTTATACATTCAAGTTGCTTTCTGTCTTCTTTCTCACACTCATTACTTGATGTAGAAGTTGTACTGTTGACACATAGCAAATCCGTCTGGTTTTGTTGTCGAACTCTGCGTGCATTTATTTCGGCACTTTTAAAAGCTGTTGGATTGGACAATGTAAAGGTACCAGCGAAAATTTCCCTAGTCTTTCCTCTGAAGTCTTTCAGTTTCTTGGCGCTGACGATTCCACCATGGTTTCAGATGTTTTGATAATCTTGTAGATGACACCGGACTTGAAAGTTTAACTGCCTGAGTAATAACCTCAGCAATGGCTTCCACTGCATCGTCTATAGGTATATCACTCACCCTATCCTCAGTATGCTCAGCATAAAAGTAGAAAAGAGCCCAATTTGATTTATAAAGCACTGATATCTACAATAAGGGCTTCCCCTTATTTTTTTCAAATATGACGAAAAAAGGAAAGTGATCACTATTATGAAGGTCATTCCCTACTCTCAATTTGCAAAGCGAAATCAGAATTTCTGAATACCTGGTGAGGTTAATACTATCGAATGTCCTTGTAGACTGATGGAAGTAAGTATCATCTCCGTTATGTAGGAGGCAAAGAGAATAATCATTGACCATATTGTCGATCTCCCTGTCACGTTAAGTTCTTAGTCCTTATCTTTACTTCTCCACTGAGGACTGTGGCCATTGAAAAACGCTTAAAAAGATGAAAGGTGCAGGCAACTGTTCAATTAAATCCATCCAAATCCTGCTCTTTGATTCTCTCATTGGGAGTACAGAGAGCACACGGTAATGAAAATTTGTGCATGAACTTGAACGGCAACAGCCTGGAGGCATGTCGTCAGAGAAAGAATATTTGAAGGGATACTCCACCGAGTTAAAAGACATCTCCTCTGGCATGATCGCTAGAAACATTGTCTTTCCTGGCAGATGAATATCTGCAGTGTTTAAACTGTTTTTCAGATTTCAGAAGAGTTTCTTGTACCGAGACATCAAAAGTCCTCATATGGTAATTATTTTCGCAAACGTTGGCCGTCGAGATATATTTCAAATCGCAAAAATGTTTTAAATGGTGCGCACTTGACACTAGTTTACAAATCCAAAAACAAGGAGATTTAGGCAAAAGAAATATTTAATGCTCAATTCTATTATTAGTTTGTATAGTTAAGTGGCAATTCCGCACAAAATCACATTTTCGATCACCTGGATCTTGAAAAAGTGATTTGGATTATTAGTTTTTTTTTTTTCAAAATTGAAAGCCCTGATTTCAAAATTGAAAAATGTAAACTACTGGACTTCACAAATATCGATTTTAATAACTGATTTATGAGCGGGAACTTTTTATACTTATTTCGATGAATTTAATCATGTATTTTCTGCTTTTATTTTCTATTCCAAACATTAAAATATTAAAAAAAGTTTACTTTTGCTTATAAAAAATCTCTACGCTTTCACTTTAGAATTCACATTAACACGAAACTGCCGATATCGATTGTAGATACAGAATACACATGATTTGCCTTTAGATGTTTCGGGAAGGATGAAATTCATTTTACGTGAGTGCTCTAAAAGGAACGCGAAAAATAAAGCTAATATTGTACAATGATACTCAGAGCAACCACGAGAGCAGGAATGGACACTACATAAGTACTAAAATAACGTCAATAAGTCATAAGGCTAATTCATTCTTTCTGACAGGCTGATTGGAAGTATGACTTGTTGTCCAAAACTAGGTTGCACCTGTCAGGAAATTCATGTACCACAGGGATTATGCTCACTAATTTCATTAATTCCGCTAAATGGCATAACTGCCATTTGCGCAAGTGTCACATCACCATTTAAAAGCCACAACCTTGCCCGATACATGAAAAACAAAATTTAATTTTCATCTTCGTAATTAATTGTATTTAGGCGTTGAGGTTTCAGATATAAGTTTATAGAGAGACAAAAAGATTATAAAACTTTTTCCGGTCGGTTTATCAAGTATAGCTTAACTTGTTTATGAACTGTCTGGCGCCTTCATCCATTTTTTGCCCTTCATCCATGTCTCAGCTTTCTTGTGCTGTCTGCCTCGAATGAGATCTTGGGGTGTTAAGTTATATTTTGCTGATTTAATAAACGGAAGTAGTTTAGATAAGTGGTAATATAGGATTAACAACAATATTCGATAACACAGTAAATTTGAAAGTGCGTCTTTTTTTTTTAACGCAACTAAAAATAATAACAAAAAGTATCAATCTGTTTAGAGAACACTGTAGTCCTTGCTGTTGTCTGCTGACTGCCCATCTGTCCGGCGACTTGATGTTACCAAATTAAATGAAGTTCCAAACTTCATTTTGCCTTTCTGTTCAGATCGCGCTTAGCGGGGGTCGGAGGAGGCGGTTCGACTCGGTCGATAGAAGAGATTACAAGAATACTACGAGCTTAGGGAGAGCATGCAAAATCGTAACAAACCTTCTGGTGCAACGAAGAATCTGAATCCTTTTAGATTTTACTTTTTTTTTTTTTTTTTTTTTTTTACTTTCTTGTAAAGTAAGTAGGTAAAACAGTAAGGAAGTAGTGAAATCGCGAAAAATTTCGGATTTCCACGGAAATATATCCAATTTGTAGTTCCGTCGTGACGTCTATATACGTATGCCGCATAATAGAAAACGATTTTCCCTAAAATCTTCAAATTTTGAATTTGGGACTTTTGATAGTTTCGGCGTGACGTATAACTACGTACATCACGCATAGCTCAAAACCGATTAGCCGTAGAATGTTCAAATTTTGCATGAGAACATGTAGTTGTGCACCTCTCTTTTCTATTGCAATCGGAATATCGAATCTCACTTTCAAATAAACTAAGTTTAAATGAGTGCATCAAAAGATGTGTATTATTTTATAGGCGTACAAAGAAGATGGTCAGATTTCTCTTTTAATTCAATTTTCTTTTTATGACTATATTTCTCTCGAAATTTTAAACCAGCAATACCAACTGTATCCCAACTATAGCACGCGCCGTTTAATATGATCTAATTAATTTAGGAAAAACAAACAGCCTCAAAATAGTAATGCAGTTTAATAGTTTTAATGTAAGTAGGCACTTTGACAGCATTCTTAGCAGAAGTTAGTTTACGAGGTGTTCGTAAAGTCTTTAATGCGAGAGTTCATTTATTAACTTTCATATATTTCATGTGGTTTTTGAAAATTATTTGACCCATGCTGCTGTACTAATATTTAAAAAACACATTGGAAAAGAATTTGCCAAAGTAAAATTTAAAATTAGGAAGAAAGCAGCCTTAATCTAGCGTAGATATTTTCTGTGAAATTTGTTTGCTCCCAGAGAAGAAGGATCTGTTTCTCACCTTCTCAAATCGATAAAATCATCGAAAATCCATTTTTTGGGGTCATTGTAATTTTAAATGTTTGACTAAAATCGAAACTAAGATGGTTGGCAACCTAATCGCTTACGTGGCAACATTTTCCTGTAACTTCGTATTTTTGATTATGCATTGTAATTTGACAGTTTTATCTTTTATTGGTCAATTTATTTCAGTTTTAAAATCGATTCATTCTATAATATTTTAATAATATTACCCGAATTGTTGATCACAATAAGCGATGTGTTTTCCATGTTTCCGTATACAAATTGGCGGGACTTCGCTAACAATATCCGAATAATAAGACTAACCGCGGTCACATTAAGCAGCTTTTACTAAATTACTAAAAAATTAAAAATTAGTGTAGGTTTTATAGGCTTATTGAAACAAAATTAAATTGGAATATTTCATTGCATTTCCATGATTAACTAATAATAGCGAATGCTTTGCTTCAGATTCTGTGTCCGTCAAATCAACTGTGTTAATATCTACATCAGTTGGCCAGCTCGGGGACCAGAGCGGAGAGAAATTGATGGCAAAGGAAATTTTAGCTGCAGGAGGTGAGATATTATTTCATGTATTTAGAAAAGGCAAGCCATAAGATTTATCATATTGTATAGACGTAAGCCTTTCACCTAAAATATCTAGAAATTATCTTTGAAAAAAAAAAGTAATTAATTTTGCTCTTACGAAAATAACAAAAATTATTTTTCAAGGAAACATAATTCTATTATTTTTAACATTTGGATTATACATTATTTTCTATTTTCTTGGAGGGGAAAGGAGGAATCAGCTAAAAATACTGATTTGTTTACGTAATGCTTCGCACAGTACATATACAGTAGTATGTGGATGACAAAAAAAAAAGTATTAGAAATATCTTGCTATTTAGTATGTAAAATAAAAGTAGCAAATACATTATTAAGAATATCGAAATTACTATACAAAATTTCATGTTCATAAAACTAATTATAAAGATACTGAGATTTAAAATAGGTATTTTGGAGATATTTTGAACGTACCTGACTTCTTAAGGTATTTATCATTCGTTACACGTTAACAGATGCATAATGCATTACAAAGTCCGAGATCCGGAATGATCTAAAATGCGGACCTCAAAGCCACCAACATTATTTTTTGTATGCTTTACCCATGCGTGTTTGTCACCCCCCTTAAATAGTAAAAACATGCAGAGAGTCCTGATTCTTAATTTCACTTCGGCGCTAAATAAAATACCTCGTTATTGAAGAAACAATCATTTTAGCATGAATTTGTGTGGTCAATAATTTGACTCCGTGGCTGCGTATCTGCTTTGCGTACGTTTCAAACCGCAACATTCTACATAGAAACATCGTTGATTTTGCATCAACTAATATTTTATATCCTTGACGCCAACTTGGCGAAACATTATTTATTATATTTGACTTTCATTGCCGCATGTTTATCAGCACAAGAGAACTTGGGAATTTGTGTAATCACTCATTCAGCAATGCCTAAACAGTTTTTTATATTAGTAATTGAATATCAAAGAGTATGGTAAACTTTTCTGTTGACATTACTCTTGGCGGTGATTACAGATTTAAGTTAAATGCGCTAAAAAGTGTTGACAAAGAAAAATTTAACAAAAATTTCTTTCGATACGCTAAAAATAGATTATGTTAATGATATTCATGGACCAAAAGATTACATTTGATGCTATTGGAATTAAGGCTAACTAATTTGCTATTCACATAAATCCAGAACCGGTTCATATCTCGTATGGCCACACTGGGCGGCAGAATTTAGAGAAGACAAAATTTATAAATTAAATTTGGAAATTATTATTTGGAAAATTTGGAATTAAATTTGGAAAAGCACCGAACAACAAAATTAAGGGATAACAGAATTTTTAGAATTTAGGAAAAGCACTGAGACCCAAAATTTAAGGGTAGCAAAAATTTAGAACTTAGAGATGCGCTGGTTAGCAAAATTTAGGACCCGCAGAGACTGCATCAGGCTGTAAGATATCTATGACGGCCCTTGATACGCCTTAAGTATATGTCGGAATTTATTTATTCAAGTCTCAGATAAGCCTTAAGCTTGTGAAAGCAATAGCCGTAAGTATAATAAATAACTAAAATAATACATTTCAGACTTAATTGTCTCAGTGCGCGATAGAAGCAAGACAAAAGTCGCCAGTCTCATGATAAGCTGATACTGAAGCTGCTGAATATTAGCATATGAATTTATTGAACTCCCTAATAGTGAAAAGTTATCTCAACAAATTTACAACGCTGATGAAACTGGTCTTTTCTGGCAATATATACTGCAAAATACCTTAACAAACTACAGAAAAGGCTCCAACTGGCGTCAAAAATTCCCAAACGAGACTTTTAGCATGCACAAATTCTGCAGGAGTGCATAAGTGTAAAATTTTCGTAATCGGAAAAAAATACACGAGCTTAAACAATTTAAAGGAGTGAAGATTTTCCCTTTTATATGTATATCGTGCAAATAAAATAGGATGGATAACACAAGAATTAATCAATGATTGGTTTGAAAATCATTTCATACAGGAGGCTGGGTGCATTCGGTTGGTTTGCCTGATGGGGCAAAAATTATCGTAATTGTAGACAACTATACGACTCATACTTGACTTAGTTTTAGTGAAAAGATAATGTATCGGTATTATTCTTTCCTGGAAATTGTACGTTCATCATTCTGCCCATAGATATCGGAATAGTGCGCAAGTTGAAATGCAAATATAAAGCAGCATTTTTAAAAGTCCATGCTAAATTTCTTGAATAATGGCAAGACTATTCAAGAATTTTTTAAAACATTTGAGCATAAAATCTGCTGCGTGGAGCATCGCAAGATTGTGGGAGGATAGTCTCCAGATACTTGAAAAAAATGCTTGGCATAATTTATGGCCAGCTACCATATTTCACGGTGAGGCTGATGAAGATGACAGTCACGAATTTGAAGGTTTTCGGATATCGCTAACCAAAGGTGAAATTTTCCAAATGAAGTATTTTGTAAAGAAATGTGGAGATGCGGTAGTAAATGAAGATGGTATAACAGAAGTGAGCAGCGGTGAACTATAGATAGAATAGTGATGACTATGCCCCAATCATCAATCAATTAACGGACGGCGAAATCTGCAGTATGGTTCTACATCCAGAAAGGACCGGTACCGATAGTGAAGAAAGTGACAGAGAGATCATTGAAAACAAAAAAATTTCGATTGACAAGCTAGTCTGAATTGTCGTCACAGCAATTACAGGACTTGAAATAATAGAACTTTGTAACTGAATAAGAAATTAGATCTATCTGTAGAATTAAAGAGAAAGTATTAGCACAAAAAAACGAAGCAACTTAAACAACTTGCATTGAAAAAATGTTTAATAAAGTAAACAAATAATTTTTTTTGTAAATATTGGTACCCTTTATATCATAATTGTTTCGTTATTTCATAGATCACGATTTAATTTTTTTTTTAATTTTATCATTTATACATACCGTCTTAGTAAATTTAAAATAGCGATTTAATATCCGGGATCGCCGAAGTACCGACGAGTCCGTATCTCGCACTTTGTGCAGTGTAAAGATTTTGTTAAAATCTATATTTTTGCAGGCCATTTACTTACAATTTCGTAAGGAGACCAAAGTGACTGTTCCAAGTTATCAAAAGATAATGAAGATGATGTAATTCGTGCAGAACTGCTGTAAAACTGTGTAAACTACTATTACCCAGCCTGCAATGATTTTTTTTTCCCCGTGAATGCCCAAGTACTTGACTTACCCTAGCTGTGTCGAGATTGAAACCCTATGGGATATGCAGATCTCGTTAAAATGCTGATCTGATAACTGGGAATAAAAAAATTTATGTACTGTTAAACAGCATATTCTGTAGGTATCTTCAGCTATTCTTACGCATGGAGGATTTAAACGTTATTTCTAAGTTGTGGGTGATATTAGTTATTTTCTGCAGTATCTTTATGTATAAAGAAGGACTGTATCTTAGCCAACTATCAGAAGTGAGTTTTGATTCATTTTTCTGTGACATAAACAGCTTCCAAAACAATTTACGCGGTCTACGAACACATTTTACATTTGTTGCAAATGTTATTGTTTTAGTCTTAGAGGAATGAATTTATGTGCGAGACTTTTATTATTCTCTAACGATTTTCTAGATACGTAGTGTCGTGGACTAATACTAGCTTATTTAGGATACATATTGTAAAAGGCTAATATTTACTTTCTTAGGGTAAATAATAAACGCTCCTACACTTATTCGTAACATATTCTCTCCCAAATTAAAATTCCCAGGAATCATCACTGATTTAAAAAAATCTCAGGTCTCCAAAATATTGCCACTCTAAGGAACATAGTATAAACTTACAAACACTACACCCACTCACGTTACATTAGGTTATAACATTACCTGAGAATAGTAACCTAATGTTATTAATCCCTACATCCGTAAGTACCGTGAAATATATATGTTGAATGTTTTGCTCTTTGAAAAAGACCAAAGGATTTTCAATAATTTGTTCATATTATTTTTATTGTCTACTTTACTGAATTGATTTGTTTATGTTATTTTATTGAATTGCTTTATTTCAGTTTTGATGCACGTACTCCCTGCACTATTAATCCCCTTTTTTATGTATCTGTGTCATTTTGTTAAAAAAAAGTTCCGATCCGTCAGCTACTTTTAGGTCGTGCTTTCGGCCCGCATGCAGTTTGAGTTTGAGGCCACTGATGTACCCAAAATATTAGAATAATTTTTAAATGGTAGCATTCGGTTCTGTGGAATGAGTTTTTTTTTTTTTTTATCTCGATAAGAATACAATTGCATGAATATAATTTTAATAAAGGTTGCAAAACATTTATAACAATATTTAGAAAATTTAACTGCTTTAAATATTCATTCTTTGAACGTTAAACACAACCACTTAAATATTCACATTTAAAGCATATGTGGAGTCTTTAAATTAAGACTAAGTCTGAAATGTATTATTTTAGTTATTTATTATACTTACGGCTATTGCTTTCACAAGCTTAAGGCTTATCTGAGACTTGAATAAATAAATTCCGACATATACTTAAGGAGTATCAAGGGCCGTCATAGATATCTTACAGCCTGATGCAGTCTCTGCGGGTCCTAAATTTTGCTAACCAGCGCATCTCTAAGTTCTAAATTTTTGCTACCCTTAAATTTTGGGTCCCAGTGCTTTTCCTAAATACTAAAAATTCTGTTATCCCTTGATTTTGTTGTTCGGTGCTTTTCCAAATAATAATTTCCAAATTTAATTTATAAATTTTGTCTTCTCTAAATTCTGCCGCCCAGTGTGGCCATACGAGATATGTTATTGTATTTAAAATAATTATTACATCGTTGCGGGAAAAACGTGCATTTTGCCTGGAGAAGCACGTCACAGTATAAAATTTCTTATGCGATTTCAATAATTCGAAGAAAAATGAATAAATTTTAAAACATGGATGACATCTTAAGGTTAGAAAAAACCTTTCTCTCTTCCTGAATGAATTCAAAGCACCGCTAAATTTTTAAATGGATTCGTCTGATAGTGGTTGTTTTCGTCCTACAAACAAAAGACAAACTCTTGCAAATTGCTAGCTAAAGTTATGCCGAACTATACCTTTCCAACTGTTGAACTTTATGCAAGTGTAATATGAGAACCGACCCAATCACGACAAAGCTAACCCGAACTTACATTCACCCTGTGATTTCATGAATTCATGGATGATTTGATGCCTGAGGATTAGCAAAGATAACAGTGGGAACGGGCGATATTCAAGTTTTGGGGAAATAGAAATGAAGAGTATTAATTAGGTTAATTAGGCATTGCAACTTTGTTTTAATATTACTTCGTATTCTTATTGCAATGTAGATTTCTTTAAAAGAAATAATAGTGTGTCCATAATTCATTCCTTCTCATTTGTTACTGAGTTATTCGCATCATTTTCTCCTCTTCATAAAATTAGTCAGAAAAGGGAGGAATTAGTTGAGTAGAAAAGGCCAAGGCTGGGTTTCCATCACTTTCATAAGTTTACCTGGATTGTAAGCGCTTTTGAGACATTTGTAAAGATTCTAAATCTGAGTATTTTTGTATGTTGTTTCAGGTTGCAAATACCGAGGTCAAGTTCATTACAACGGGGACGAATGGCATCCGTTACTTGAGCCTTATGGTCTAGAAAACTGCGTCAAGTGCCATTGCAAAGTAAGTGATTAAGCCTTGATTCTCTAAATTAAAATGACCAACCAACGAACTTTAGCCCTGTCCAACATTTATTCCTTGTTTTTAGTTCCCAATAACCTGTATAGATAATTTTTTTTCATATGTTAATATTGATGTTAACTAGTCGAGCGAACGGAGGAAGCTAAAATTTTTCGACTGCTCAATAATCGCTCTCATATTGTTTTCGATTGCTAATTTTCTGAAACATTACTCGTAACGTAAACATTGAGCAGCCTAGTGCGTCTATGCCACACGCATTTTTTTCTCTTCGTCATTCTTTTTTTATCAACTATTTTTTCTCCTGAATTATCAGTGGAGATGCTATGTCATTGCTAACGCTGGAAATAATAACTAAAACAGACAATTCATGCCTTAAAGCTCATTCATCACAAAATATCTTAAAATACCACTGATTACAAAAAGAAAGAAAATTACTAAAAATTGATAATCAATTGTTTATGAATATAAAACACGTTGTAACGAAGAAACGTATAAATGGAAAATACATTAAAAATATTTAACATATTATAAGTTTATACTTGGTCTTATTATTGAACTTTAGTCCTGTAACCTTACTGGACATGTAGGAAGTTATTGCTATGTCTAAAATAGCATGACAAGACTTGGAAAGGTTTTAAACAATATTTTTATCTAACATAACTTTGAACATAAGAGGCTCCAGGTAAATTAAGTGTTAAATATAATTTAAACATTGAAAAGTTGTCGTAAGACTGCACAGACACAATACATAAGCTAAAAGTTGATTCACCCTACTGGTGCGTGCCTTTAAATCAGTAGGCTGCGAGAGATCTGCAAAGCCAGTAAGGTAGGTACAGCTGGCAGAATTAGAGGTGAGTAAAGCAGCTAGAGCTGGCAGAATTCTAACAATACTACACGAGTGCCAGGAACTCTGCCTTTCTGTCGATCCAAAATTCTGAGCTGAAATACATTGCAAACTAATTTGTTTCTCGTGAAGAATGTGGAGAGAGAAGTTAAAGACCCAAATCATAATAACTGTTTAATTTAGAATAAAAAGCTTAGAATATTTTTAAATATGTAAATTTTTTAAGCAATATGTGCGATATGAAAAGGTAAAACGCAGGAACAAAGGAAACACGACCCAAAAAATACAAAGCTGCCTCAGACGGTATATATACTTATATGCAAGCCACCTGCAAAATTTAAAAGATGAGTTTTAATGTTCGCCTCCGAGACACTGAAAAGTTGAATGTGCCAGCATATCTCATATAATCGCTGAACTGCGATGTATCTGATCCTGATAATACGATGCTATAAGAATTGATTGCAAATGGCAGGGGATTTAGAAGAACGGATTTGCAATAAAAGGTAACTCTGATAAAATATCCTTTAGGCCACATGTATTCAATGGGTGATCAGCAAGAAGGAAAATTTTTTAAAAAAAGAAAACAAGAAAATACGCTTTGCGTTCCCAAAATGTGTAGTCAGCGAAGTGTAAAGAACGCTTCTGAACTCTCTACTAGAAAGATCTATGATGCTCTCGACTAGAGATCACACTACGAGGACTATAATTCATTTTTTAACACCTTATTTAAAGAAACTGTAAATGGCAACGACTTAACTGAGAATTACGCATGCGTAAAGATTTCTGTGAGACGCCTGTCAGAGAGAGAGTTTGGGAAGCTCCGCCAGCGAGCTGAGGTGTGGAGACTAAATTTAATCAGTGATGACGAGTGCTATCTTCGTTAACGTCTCTGATCGTGTCACCAACTCGGATATGTACTCAAGTTTTCTAAATGTATTAATTAAATGTTGTATCTGTGGTATGTGCTGTAATTAAAGTGATGCATCACCAATACCAGTGTTGATTCCGTTCCCACTGAAGCATCCACGACGTCACAGACGAAAGAAATAAAAATTGGAGGTTCCACCGAGATTTGTGTGACAAGAGACCAGGTATGTGTTCTCCACAATATTCATTTCCAGGCCTGAAGTGTATAATGTAGTTATTTATTACTTATTCGGGAAATCAATTCCCAAAGCAGAAGTAGCACATCAGTGCATAAGAGTTTTAAACACTCAATGTGTTTGGTTTATAGTATATCTAACAAGATATTTTCCTTTTGTGGTATATTCGGGAAAACATTTTCCCATTAACACGTAGCACATCAGTGCATTTTATAGCACGTCAGTGCATAAAAGTTTTGAAACAATCAAAGTGTTGCATTTATATATCTAACGAGATATTTTTTCTTTGTATGATAATGGGGAAAAATCCATTCCCGTAAATAAACAGCACATCAGTGTATTTATGTTTAACGTTTCGCTATAAATTGGTGTGATAGAATCTGAACTGTTTATTTCTGTGTATATGTGAAAGCACATTAGTGCAATATTGAAATTCTCAGTTCTAAGATATCAGTAGAAGAAAATTTGATGTTAAATGTGTCTGAAAGAAATAAGTTGTTGAATATATTAAAAACTTGTTACTTTTGGTTTCTCATGAAAGCACACCAGTGCTGTATTTTAATATGATGTGTATTTTCTGAGAAGTAGAATGTTAAATTTTATCATTTCATTTTACATTTTAAAGCTTTGAGCAGTAAAGAAAAGTTCTAATAGTGTTCTGATTTAAACCTGCGCCTATCGAATTTACGTAGTATTTGCGTTGGCCATGTGGTTGCTAACGGAAGTATCTGTCATGAAAACGATAGTTAATTAAAGGTGTTTATATTTATTGGCGCCACTCTGGGTTTTTTTCTGTCTGGCTGTACTAAATGAAAAGAATTTGTTATTATTTTTTATACGAAGTATTCAGTAAGGTTGTTTATTCGTTTTATGTTTGAATGGAAATAAATCCACAGTGATTAATGCTTTTATTAACCTTTTATTTTCATTTGCCTAATTTTGTAAGAAAGAAGAAAAGTTAGTGTTTTTTATATCTCTGATATATTTTTATGTGTATTATTTGTGAATAACTATTTGAGTTCTTATTTGTTTTGAAGCAATTACTTTTGTGAAAATGGCATTTTTGGGGGAAAGCTAAGAAAAGGGATCTATTCCTTGTCGCTTCAGAACTTGGGGAAATAGCTTTAGAAGATATGAAAGTGATAGATTTAAAACAATTTAATAACGAATAGTAAAAATTATGAGGAAGAATTTGTTAAAAATTTGTTAGAAAGTATTATGACTGATAGGATAGAAAAGGAAAAACTTAGAGAAGCAAACAAGAGCGAAAGAATTACAGTTAGAACAGGAAGCTAGGGAGAGGGAATTTCAGATACTACAACAAAATAAAGAAAAGAAATTGAAAAGCAACAGTTAGAACTAGAATGCCTTAAAGCAAAACAGAACACTGAATCTGCTAAACCTGGAGGTGAAACCGTATTTAATCAGAATTTTCAGAAACTTATGCCCAAGTTTAATTTAAAAACTGATGATATCAGTTTATTCTTAGAACTTTTTGAGAGGCAAGCTAAAGTTCTAAAATTGCCCACGGATCAATGGGTGTCATATCTCATTGGTGTCCTTCCGGTTGAGGTAAATAATATAATTGCTAGGGAACCTGAAGAACAGGCTAGAGATTACCAACATATTAAAGAATTACTACTTAAAAGATTTAAATTAAGTGCGGAGAAGTTTCGGCAACTTCTTGTTAAGACTCAGAAAAATCCGGATTCTACGTGGTACGATTTTTATCACGAAATTAAGACATTTTTAGATGGGTGGCTCAAGGGATTAAAAATCGAAACATTTGAGCAACTCAAGGATTTAATGTTGGTAGATCAGATTAAAAGGCGCACGCCTAATGAGTTTAAGGAACATTTTATAGATGAATGGGCCACGATCACTTCACCAAAACAGTTGGTGGGTAAAATAGAGGAATTTGAAGATGCGAAAAAGACGATGGTTGGGAAAACGAAATTGGGTGAAATGAAAACGAAAATATCAGGTAGGCAAATGGTTGTTTTTCAGTCCACTGGTAACGTTTTCAAAAATAGAAAAAACCCTCAAGGCACACAATTTAAAAAAGATGATGCACGCAATGTTGGGAAAAAGTCAGACTCGAATTTTGATAGGAGAAAAAGACTCCAGTGCTATGAATGTGGATCTTTTGACCATTTACGTCCTCAGTGCCCTAATTTAAAAACCCAAAAGGCAGATTTGTATCGGATAAGCGGGAGATCAGAGAAGAATCTGTTAGATCCCTATACATTAAATGGAAGAGTAAATGGTTTTGAAGTACCTATTCTAAGAGATACAGGAGCAACGGTAGATATTATTTGTCAGAAATATGTAGACAGAGATAGAATGAAGGGGGAACATGTGTGGGTTCGACATTTGTTGGATGATCATATGACTTGTTTACCTGTTGCTGAAGTAGATATTGAATGCGATTTGGGTACAGTAACCACCAAAGCAGCTGTTATAGGAGACCACTTAGACCAAGGGACGATATATATTAGGCAACCAGACAGCGGCTCTTCTCAGAGGAACTGAGAAAAATTATTCGTCGTATGTCGGTAATGTTAATGCGGTCGTTACTCGATCTCAAGCACGACAATTTAAGGAAGCGGAAAATTTAATGTGAGACGAATCAAAATTCTGAGCAGAATGAGTTAGAATTGGAAGAGGAGGACGATGCTCATGAGAGGTCTGAAAACAGAGAGATATTGCCTCCTGTCGACCTTTGTGTCCCCACAAGTCCTGCGATTCAAATAGACTCAAGTACTTTTATTGATGAACAACAAAAAAGTAAAGAACTTGCCCCTTTATTAGAACTAGTAAAAAGCGGAAGTAAAACAAGTTATGGGATTAAAAATGGGGTTTTAGTAAAAAAGAAGGTAAATAAGTTAGGAGGAGAAGAACATTTAATTGTTGTTCCAGAAAACCTCAGAGAGCAAATTAAAGCAATTTGTCATGAAGGAACTTCAGGTCACTTAGGAGTTCTGAAAACAAAAGACCGGTTACTAAGACATTTTTTCTGGCCAAATTGTTATAAA